TTGGTTGTTTCTTCTGTATCTTAAATATATGTAAATTTATCAAAGGGTCAGTAAACACTGAGATGTCTGTAAGGTAGAATTTTCCTTAATGAGAAGCTAACCAGTGAATGAGGCTGGGGGGAAGGGAAAGGGTGGTTTTGGTTTTGTGACTTTGTGACTGTCGGAGCCTCAGGCATCTGTGTACACATTCTCCCTCATTTACAGCTGAGTGTTTCAGCCTTTCTGCTTTTCTTTTCTCCTTTGTTATAAAAGTGTTGAGGTTCCAAATACATTATTTAAGATTAGTATGAAAAATTAATCTGAAGGAGGCTCTGGTTTTGCTATCCTGGAGTTTGCTATTACTTGGAAGATTTTTCTGCTGTTGTCATCTCCTCACTTCCCTTCTTCCCTCCTTTTATTATTATTTTTTTCTCTTCATCATCTTCCGCCAGCTGCAGTTACTGTAGGCAGGCTTCTGTGACAAAAAGGCGCTTTAGGAAAGAGTTCTGAAAGCGGCCAGAATAATTTTACAGTGGGGCAATCCCTGGGGGATTTCCTGTTTGTCTATTCGCACATGAACAGAACAGCAAAAATCATTGGGAATTCTTCTATACCTATAGTGTAGCTCTCCCTTTATAGATCTGGCTGTGGGTACATTCTTCTCAATCATACTGCTGAAAAGTACAGTGAGTGCCAGCACCAGAAGCTAACCTCTATTTGGAGCCAGTTAAATACATGTTGCTGATAAAAAGCACCTTATTCTGGTAGTCAAGCAGAATAATTGGCTACTTAGTACTTGGCTAATCTGATTTTATACAGCATATAATCATGATATTATAGCTCCAGAAATTTAATTGGATGGAAACTCCATAAGTGGTGGTAACCATGCTTTGAAGTTGCAACATGCTGACCATTCAAGAACCCATATAGTTTGCCATGTAATAACATTAAACATTCAAAGGAGACGTGGATTTTCCCAGAAGTAAAGGGTTTAAAGTGCCCAGTTTACAACATGCCTTTCACTTCTGGATTCCTTTGTCTCAGTCCATTGACACAATGGAAGTAAAAATCAGACTGCGATTATCTGTATGAGGAACGTCACCATTCTAAAATGAAGGGATGAAATATCATCATCTACCTGACCCAGCACCTCCTGAAACAGAGCTCTGCTTTGGAAAATTCTCCTCTGGCTTGTCACCTTCTGCAGGTCAGCAATGCCCCTGGTTCTGCAGAGGTTTGCTTTTACCAGTGTAAATCTGGAGCACCATTACTAATGTGAGCACAGAATCCAGGCCCTAGAACCTAAAGTGAAGCTTTTCGTCTTTCTCCGCAACCATTAAAAGACTTCCTAAACATAATAGTTTTGTAGCTACAATCCAGCCCACTGAACTGAGTAAAGCATAGGGATAAAATTAGAGCAGAGTATTGCAGAACAATCCGTCATGAATCATTCTGAGACTTTTAGCTGGTGTATGCTGCACAGGTATTATTAATTCCTGATCAGCCAGCACAAGTACCTCACCCAGGTAGACCTAAGCAAGTCGCTTTCATTTAATTTGCCTTCTGAAGGACATGACAGCATCTGTACATTTTCAGATGTAATTGCTGTTATCCTTCAGAGTTTTTTGAAACAAACACAATCATCCTCCTGAATTACTGACTTTCCATGACAATTTTTTGAGGTTGCATTGTTCTAAACTAATATCTTTCAGACAGATCCTGAATAATGTAAGAGGATAAAGCCCACATGAAAAAATCAAGAATTCAGAAATGAAATTTAAGCTGTCAAACTTTAACTTAGTTGATCTTTATTCCCTTAATATTCTTCAAACAAAACCCATTTCATTCTAGTTCATAAAGCACATTACCTTAGAGGCCATAATATTGCTGAATTTTGTTCTAGGTCGATTTTTAAGTCAAAGCATTAGACATTTAAAAACTCCACATTTAAAGCAGCTATTATAGACTGGCTCTATGACCTGCTGCCAAATGTGTGCTCCCCCCTTTTCTTAGTGTTTTAGTTTTTATATTTGTGTGTAGAAAAAACCCAATTTCAGATCCAGTCTTGAGACCAGATGTATGGGGGTAAAACAGCTTTCCTCTGCAGGATTTACAATGGAAAGACAAATTTCATAGAACAGATCTTACCCCTGCTCTGCTTCAGTAAAGTACCTGAACACATCCTTCAACCATATATAAAGTGCAACAGCAGTTCCTTTGAAAATATTTCAGAGTCTCACTGGTTTGCATATAAAGAATCTCACCATTCTCTGCAATATGACAGACCGTGTTTCAAATTCTTAAGTATTTCTTTGGGAAGCTTCAGAAGTGTTATACTTGCTGTAGAAATACTGCAGAAAAGGCTAGGAGGCCAAACTAATGGCCCTCCACACACTGCCAAGGTGAGGCCTGAAATACCGTGTTAAATTGTGGCTTCTCTTCTGGATGTCAGCACACGGTGCCTTTGATTCTGTCAACAAACTTTGGGGCTTCATAGAATCATAGAATAGTTAGGGTTGGAAAGGACCTTAAGATCATCAAGTTCCAACCCCCCCACCATGGGCAGGGACACCTCCCACTAAACCATGTCACTGAAGGTTCTGGCATGGCTATTCATGGCTATTTAAATGGTGAGGATCAGAGAGGAAAGAATGTTAAAAATACTTATCCTCCAATTTCTTAGTAACTCTTTAATACTGAGCCAGAGCTGACAGCTAATGACTTCTAAATCCCTAACGGCTGCTCTGAAAGTGTCCCAGTCACGCAGCTGACTTAGCAGTACTGCTGAGCTCAGCCCAGGGGAAATGCCAGACATCTTGTGCTTGTGTCTTTCATTAAACGTAATCCCAGTTCCTAAGAGGTTTCACAGAATCCCATCCTGGTTTGGGTTGGAAGTGACCTTAAAGCTCATCCAGTTCCAACCCCTGCCATAGGCAGGGACACCTTCCACTAGAGCAGGTTGCTCCAAGCCCCTGTGTCCAACCTGGCCTTGAACACTGCCAGGGATGGGGCAGCCACAGCTTCTCTGGGCAACCTGCGCCAGCGCCTGAGCACCCTCACAGGGAAGAACTTCTGCCTAATGTCTAAGGAGATGCTCTCCTGCTGACCTGCGACCCCTCTCCAGGCTCTGGGCATCTATTTCTGGCATTGGCATCAAACTGGTAGGAGTGGGATGGATTGAGAATCCCCTTCCCCTAAGAACTTTAGTTTAAAGCCCTCTTCAGCAGCTTGGCAAGCCTATGGCAGAAGATGCTCTTCCCCTTTTCTGACACGGGAATAGTGTTTGAACTAAAACCCCCTCCGAGTACTTGGTTCCCTCCTTCCATTTCTGTTGAGTCTACTACATCCAGACCACCCTCAGAAGGGAAGCTGCAGGACAAGCGTGCTGAAGAGAAAGATGTGCCAAGGTATGTCCATGAAAACTGACACTGGCACCTCCCATGCAAGGAAATACTGGTTTTACCTCCTTTTATTGTACTTCTGCAAGTGAGGTGTGACCCTGGAGAGCGAACAGTAGAAAGTGCTTCTACTGGCCTGTACCTGTACGTCACAGATGAGACTAGAAGTACTCAGGTTCAGTTGAGATTTACATTAGGGTCAGAGGGCACATGAGAGCTAAGGCTTCAGATTCAGTGTTAGTACACACCTCTTGAGGTATGTGGACTGATGTAATCCCTCTTTCTTCCTACCCCAACCCTAATTTATATGTGCATTTGCTTTGTTTGGAAAACTGAATGCCTTTTGAAGCATAATATACAGCAGGCAGTTTCAGCAACATATAGTGTACACAGTTAGCATGCATGCATACATCACAGATGCACCAAGACAATAAAATCTAACAGAAGCTCCTCTGGAAATATTCCTGTCTCTGTATGTCAATAATCTGCATACTAAAGAGTCCCAAAGCACTCACTAGCATGACAGACTGGGCATTAAGTGGTGCCCAAGTAGCCCTTCAGACAATACACAGAAGAAGCTCTAGAAACATTATGCTCTACTGTAAGAAAAAGCTCAGAAAGCAAGGACACATCTCTTGTGGACTCTTAAGTCTATTATCTAAACCACTAAAAAATCAGATTTGATGCAATTTAGTTGAAGCTTAAATTAATGCAGGCTTAACTGACCACACTGCAAACACAGCTTCTTGTAAACCAATTCCCTTAATTGTCTGAAAAAGGATTTTTTAATTATTAAGCTAATGCAGTTTAATTTCTGCAGGAAATGGAGCCAGACCATCAGGATGCAGAAAACCTTTAAAGTCAGTCTTAAAATTTAGAGAATAAAGCGAATAGAAACTTTGCTGATTTCTAAGTGCAGTTGAACGCCAAAGTATTAGAAATTAGGAGCACTGGATCAGAGTTCTCCTCTTCCTGCGCAGGAATTCTAAGACAGGCAGAGCCCAGCATAAGGGGGGGTGCCACAGCTGTAGGTCTATTAACAGACATCCCTGTCATTAAAGTGAGCATGGAGAAAAGGCATTAACTGCATTTGTAGTTTTGGAGTCTATACTGAGACTCTTCACAAAAGTACTTGATTCTTAGCAGGATAAACTTTTGGATTGTGAGGAAGAGCAAGGATAACCCATCCATCCCTTGCACACGACCATCATCAGAAGATGTATGTTTTTTTGGTAACAGTCGGGATTATCTACCAATGAACAGCTAACTTTGCTGTCCTTGTAAGTTACCATAAAGGGTGACTGCTGGGCAAACACCATTTGAGAAGGTCACATGCTGGTAAAAATCAGATAGTTTTCTATGGGGCTTATGATATGGACTTCAGGGGCAAAAGATGTTTACTCTTCAGAAAGCAGCAGACTAGGACCATCATTAATTATGCTCTTCTGGTTTATCAGGTCTTTTAGCTGTTCTACTCTGCATATCTGTAAGGATTAACTAAGACGAGGCGGAATTTCTCAGCATGTATGGTCAGAAAGCATAACCTTCACTTGACTTCCCCTTGCACTGGAGGGAGAGCGTGCATTTTCTGTTAGACTTAGAGGTTTGTACACAGCGTCCTACCTGCAATGGATTTGGTGAAGTAAGAGGAGACGGAAGGCCATGCCCTGGTGACTGGCTGGGTTTCTGAGGGGAGCTGGAGGACTGTGAGGCCAGAGGCGGCTGGCTCTGGCTCTGGGACTGGGTTTGGTTTTGCTGCGGTGGTGCTGACGGCTGTGGCTGTGGCTGCTGGGTCTGCTGGGGTGGCTGTGGAGTCTGTGCCTGCTGACCTTGCTGCTGCTGCTGGCTTTGCTGCTGCTGCTGTTGGTGCTGGAGCTGCTGAAGATGCTGAAGCTGTTGAATCTGGGAATTCAGGGATGAGGTAGCTGTGAATCAAAGAAAGGAAAGAGAGTTATGTAGGTTTCAGTAATACTGTGCTAAGGAGAACGCTGGATTAAATTCTGTTTCTGTTACATTGTGGGAGACACTGCCCACTGAGGTCAGCTGGCCTCAGACTTCAGGCTGTTGCAGGAAACACATTCCTAACAATAACAGCCTGTAATTCTGCCAGTGCAGTCCTGTGGTGAGAGTAGGACTTCACTGGAGGCAAGGAAGGCAAACCTTGGAAAGGCTACAGCTCTGCCCACAGGATGGGTGCCAGCGCTGACCAGCAGCCTGTGCTCAGACAGTTTACCAGTGAAGCCAATGAGAATTTTGCATGCCTAGAGAAGAGGCAAACAGGATGTCATGGCACAGAGCATAGCAAGAACTCATAACATGAACTGTGTGCTGTTAAATAAAGGAGGAGAAAACCAGAGTTGTAAAATAAAGGATGCTCTGAAAAGAGCTTTGTCATGTCTTTATGCAGCAGGTGTCAGGAAATAAAACATTCATCTGTGAAATTCCTCGTGCAATGCATAGGTAACAAAAATACCCAATAAAATGTGTGTGTGTCTGAAATTGGAACTGTTCTGCATCATTGACATCTAAAAGCTATAAAGTACTCTTGTGAAATAGGGTAGGCATCCTCTGCACTTGCACTGCTCACTTACATCTGTTAGTAAAGGTTGTTGTGCTTTGCTAGCATGCACTCCAAAGCTGAAGGTTGGAAATTGGTAGACCACATCAACCTACTGGCACAGAAGAGGAAGCTTTATTTCCCAGAGACACTCTCAAACTGACTAGGGCATTCATTAAGTTCAGGAAGGCAGGAAGGGTGCCACAGGGATGTCAGTAAGGAAGAACAGCTTTAAGCAGCAACCAGAACATCACAGGAATCTGACGCTTTCTGGGGTAATGCCCTGAATAAGTCACAGGGGTCTCCGGCCTTACCCACTGTAATCAGCATCTTGGGGGCTGTGATAGATGGCTGTAAGATCCCAAAAGGAACAACTTACAAGGTCATTGCACTATTCTGCACTCTGTATACTGCTTTGCCAACACTACGCTGTATTCTAATTTCTATCAGCAGAAGGCAAAGTAACCTGGGAATGAACCAAATTTATTACTTCTAAAGTGCCATTCAGATTTCATGGCCAGAACCTCTGCTCACCAAGTTATTTGCGGATTGGCAGATAAAGCCAAGCCATCTCCACTTTTTTTCCATGCCAACTGCCCTATTTTAGCTTTCTAGATGTCCATGCCCTGGGAATGAACTTGAAGTCTTGGTACAACTTATGAAATCAATGAGCCATAAACTGGAATAAGCAAAAGAAAAAAGAAAATGGAGAAAGATGAGGCAGAATGGATAAGCCAGAAAAGGCTGTATGAAGGCAAAACAAAAGACTTGGTAGGAAAAGCTGTTGGTCATCCATTCTTATACTCACAACTGCTCTAAATTTTCTCTCACCAGAGGCAGGAATCATACCACAGATGTGCCTTTATTAGAATTATAGTCATGTGTATGTGACTTCAGCAAAGGACCTGAAAAATGCAGGGAAGGAGGACTGGTAACACCAGTATATTCCATCAATAAGGTTACTGTGGAAGTTTTGTGTTTCAACACAAAACAGTAACCATCAGATTAAAAACACATATGGTATCCCATGCAAAAGAAATCAGCCTGGAGAAATAAGGGTACACTCCCATCAATCCCACAATCAGGACTCATACCTAAATACCCCAGAGTCAAAGGTAAATGCAAATATAATCTAAGGAATATGAGAACTAAGAATAGAGAAGGTTAGTATACAAAAAAGCAACTGGATAGACAAATATTTACCATAGCAGGAAGCAACTCAGACGGCAAGCAATGACATTCACCAGTTCTACCTGTAGGTATGTACACAGATGTTGTGTTTTAAGCCCAGCCAGCAACCCAGAACCACGCTCACTAACCCCCTGTTTTCTCCCCCACTGCTGGAGGGATGGGGAGGAGAATCAAAAGAATGTAACTGCCACAGGTTGAGATCAGAACAGTCCAGTAACTAAGGTATAACACAAACCACTGCTGCTGCCACCAGTAATAACAATGATAAGGGAAATAACAAGGGAAAAGAATACAACACCTCACCACCCGCCGACTGATACCCAGCCTGACCCCAGCAGTGATCTATACCTTCTGGGTAACTGCCCCCAGTTTATATAGTGGGCATGACGTGCTGTGGTATGGAATACCCCTTTGGTCAGTTTGGGTCAGGTGTCCTGTCTCTGCTTCCTCCCAGCTTCCCCTTCTCTCTGGCAGAGCATGAGACTCAGGAAGTCCTTGGTCAGAGTAAGCATTACTGAGCAGCAACTAAAAACACTGGTGTTATCAGTGTTTTTCCCAGGCTGAAAGTAAAAGACACAGCACTGCACCAGCTACTAAGAAGGAGAAAAAATGAATGCTACTGCTGAACCCAGGACAACAGAGTAGAAAGACCCTTCCCATTCCTATAAGGGAAAATCAGACCTAGACCAGCTCTTTATCTTGTGCAGGCCATTTCCTTACTTGTGCTAGTTTAGTGATCTGGACAAACCATGGATAACCAGAACCAGGCCTTCAAACACAACAAGCCCTTACTGCTGCCAAGAAGCATAACTTGTAATCCACACAGCTCAAAGACAGGAACAAGAGGTCCTTTTATATCCCATGTTCACAACTGGACAGTATGAGACAAACCTTTCTCTGTAGTAGATTAGATACAGTATTGTTTTTTTTCCTACTGTAATGGTCCTCAAACCCTTTTTCTCCTACAGGGCAATCTTAAAGGCCAAGGCTTGGAACAATGGCTTTGCCAGAATGCCATACATTTGTATGTAGGGCACTGGGTCACGTAGTAAGGGACAGGCAAAAACATTTGAGGTGTAAGTGAAACCATCTCCTGAAACATTTTTGGAGCACAGAACATGCTTGGCTCCTTGAGGTACATCTTTCAGCTATGTCCTGGATTCAGCAGTAGCAGTCATGTTTTTCCCTTGTGTTAACTGGTGCAGTGCTGTGTTTTGACTTCCAGCTTGAGAACAGTGCTGGTGATACCGATGTCTTCGGTTGTTGCTAAGTGATGTTTACCCTGACCAAGGACTTTGTGAGGCTCATGCTCTGCCAGGGAGGAGGGGAAGCTGTGAGGAAGCAGAGACAGGACACCTGCTCCATACCACAGCACGTCATGCCCGGGGTGGGGGGTAACTGGGAGTTACCCAGAAGGACACGGGCTTCCCGGTGGAACTCGCTTTCTTGGCCGGTGGTATCGTATTCTCTTCCCTTGTTATTTTCCCTTATCATTGTTTTAGCTGATAGTAGCGGTGGTGATTTGTTGCTGGACTGTTTTTGTCTCAACCCGTAGGAGTTGCAATCCTCCTCCCCGTTCCTCCGGGAGCGGGGAAGGGGAGAGCCCCGGTGCGGGGAGGCGGGGGGTGGGAGACGGACACGGACCTCGATTGTTGTCAGCTCGGCACCACTCACTGGGAGTGAGTGAACAAGTTACCTGACTGGGTTTAAACCACGACAAGCTAGAATAGGGAAAACAGAATCATAGAATAGTTAGGGTTGGAAAGGACCTTAAGATCATCAAGTTCCAGCGCCCCTGCCATGGGCAGGGACAACTCACACTAAACCATCTCACCCAAGGCTCTGTCCCACCTGGCCTTGAACACCACCAGGGATGGAGCATTCACAACCTCCCTGGGGAACCCATTCCAGTGCCTCACCACCCTCACAGTGAAGAACTTCCACCTTATATCCAATCTAAACTTTCCCTGTTTCAGTTTTAACCCGTTATCCCTTGTCCTGTCACTACAGTCTCTAATGAAGAGTCCCTCCACGGCATCCCTATAGCCCCCCTTCAGATACTGGAAGGCTGCTACCAATCCCTGAGGGACACCAAATATGGCCAGTAACTAACAGAGATAATATGAGGTAACATAGGATGGAGGGACCATGTGAGTCTGATAACATAAAAGCGCAAAACTGGGTCAGTGCTAAATTTTTGTCCATGAACTTATGTTTGAACTTACGGGACGCAAAAAAGTCTCTGTTGACAGAATATTTAGATAAATGGTGATATACAAGACATGAGGAGAATGGTAACGAAGCTCAATGTGCAAAATAAATAGTTATGACAAACTAAAACAAATGACGGGGCGGTTGCATTATATTGCAAAAGGATTTCTTGTTCTGTGTGTGTGCATGTAGCTCAGATCAATCAGAAGATTGATATTTAATAATCGTTAGTATTAGTGTTCCCCACAGAGCATATGGGTTTCTTTGAGGATGCTTTTGTTGCAATGTTGCCACTGATATAATTAGCCCTGCAAAATTCGAGTCGAAAGGACAGACAGAAACAGTACTGATCTGTTTGTTAACCACTGCACAAAAATCCATGCTTACTGAAATAACAGAATCATAGAATAGTTAGCGTTGGAAAGGACCTTAAGATCATCTAGTTCCAACCCCCCTGCCATGGGCAGGGATGCCTCACACTAAATCATGCCACCCAAGGCTCTGTCCGACCTGGCCTTGAACGCCGCCAGGGATGGAGCATTCACAACCTCCCTGGGCAACCCATTCCAGTGCCTCACCATCCTCACAGTGAAGATTTTCCTCCTCATATCTAATCTAAACTTCCCCCGTTTAAGTTTTAACCCCTTACCCCTTGTCCTGTCACTACAGTCTCTAATGAAACGTGACTTTACTAAATGTCTGAAACTACTTAAGAAAGATCCCATTGTTGCATGTGTTGGGATTTACTTGCTAGAAGAGTTATCCTCACTGTGTAAGCCTCAGTTCCATTAACAAGTCATGCCTTTGATCAGCTGCTGAATTACATTCTTAAAAATTAAATCTTCATTAAGTTTCCATTTTCCACAAGACTTTGCTGAATAAGCATTTTGATTTCAGCATTCTTTCTTCTGCCAATACATCAACCAAGGGACAGAATCCAGACAGGTAAGCATCATCTAGCCAATC